AAATAAGTATTACCATCATGCCTATAATAGATTGTATGTGATGAAGACAACAAGAGGAGATAGTCCGTGTAATACATTGGGGTAAATAAATACATGAGATTTTCCATTTTCTGCTCTGAATAATCACAGTATATTGTAGTTAATGGGAATGGGCTATGAGGATTTTAAAGCTGACCAAAGTTTCCTCTTCGCTCATAGCTGAACTATGTCCAGAGGAATATCACTTAGAAGACAAGCCGTTTCTTGATTTAATCATTTGCATATTTAGGATCCAGACTTGTAAAATCACCCATTTTCCATGGGAGACTCCTGATTTTGGATGTTCCTTCACAGGTTTCTGAGCCAATGTTTGAATCTTCCTGGGAAACAGGGAAAGTCAGCCGAAAGTGGGGGTGAGATGTTCTATCCCCACACACTCTCAGTCTTTATGGTATCAGCTAGGTTGCTCTACTCTATGCTTCGGATAACTTACTTGAGCCTTAGAGACTTGGAGCATGAGTGGATAAAACCTTTCTCCCCATGTGTCATCTCTGACAGCATATGCAAATAGAGTGATGCACGCAGTCAATGGGCAAATTAGTGCATTGAACCCCCAGATTTCTAGACTTTAGCAGGTATTAGGATATGATCTGAGATATGCCAAGTAGCTGCCATTCTCATTCACTTATGTGTGCTCAGCACCTCCTAGAATTAGGCTAAGGCGGCTCAAGCCCATTCACATATATGCAATTTACATCCACTTTGAAGACCCTTTATAGTGGCCTTTAAAGTGGGCCTTGGTCTAAATAATCAGGCCTGAGGCATTTAAGAGATATATTTTTACTTTAGACACAGCTCCGAGCCACAGTTGGGGCATAAACTTGTGGGAAGTACAGATTTATTATAAAGAATTAGTCAGACTTTAGACTGACCAGCTGGTATTCTCCATCCCTAGCCAGCAAAGATTCTGGAACACATGTTGCTTATTGAAAGGAAAGATCAATACATAAATCAACTTTCCTTCAAAACCATCAGTGTTTCTGTTCACACATCAGTTATAGGAGGATTATGAGGAGTTGCCTTTTCCGTCTACTGCAGGACTCCTCAGGTCCAAATCCCTGATGTCTTGTGAAGAAACATCCAGACTAAACAGGTTTTCCAATTTTATATATTTTATTAACTAAACTAAATGACCAGGCAAAAGCATAAAATACCTATAACAAATCAAATTAGAATAAGTGGTTAATATCAAATCATGACATTAATCTAATTGCTAGGGTTGATTAAACCATAACCAATAATCTAACAATTCCTTATAGGCTTTGTCTAATAATTTGGGAAGGCAGAAGTCTTATTTTGATGTCAGTCTCAAAAGTAACAGGACATTATCAATCTCACTGCCAATAAACATATTTATGGTTCAGCCAAATAGCTGATACAGGGAGGGTCAAATCACTCCCAGGTTGAAGCTATGATTGAGTCTAAAAAGAAAAGGAGTACTTGTGGCACCTTAGAGACTAACAAATTTATTAGAGCATAAGCTTTCATGAGCTACAGCTCACTTCATCAGATGCATTCAGTGGAAAATATAGTGGGGAGATTTTATATACACAGAGAACATGAAACAATGGGTGTTACCATAGAGACTGTAACAAGAGTGATCAGGAAAGGTGAGCTATTACCAGCAGGAGAGCGGTAGCCGGGGACCTTTTGTAGTGATAATCAAGGTGGGCCATTTCCAGCAGTTGACAAGAACAGTAGGAGGGGAAATAAACAAGGGGAAATAGTTTTATTTTGTGTAATGACACATCCACTCCCAGTCTTTATTCAAGCCTAAGTTAATTGTATCCAGTTTGCAAATTAATTCCAATTCAGCAGTCTCTCCTTGGAGTCTGTTTTTGAAGTTTTTTTTTTGAAGAATTGCCACTTTTAGGTCTGTAATCGAGTGACCAGAGAGATTGAAATGTTCTCCGACTGGCTTTTGAATGTTATAATTCTTGACGTCTGATTTGTGTCCATTTATTCTTTTACGTAGCGAGTGTCCGGTTTGGCCAATGTACATGGCAGAGGGGCATTGCTGGCACATGATGGCATATATCACATTGGTAGATGCGCAGGGGAACGAGCCTCTGATAGTGTGGCTGATGTGATTAGGCCCTATGATGGCGTCCCCTGAATAGATATGTGGACAAAGTTGGCAACGGGCTTTGTTGCAAGGATAGGTTCTTGGTTTAGTGTTTTTGTTGTGTGGTTGCTGGTGAGTATTTGCTTCAGGTTGGGGGGCTGTCTGTAAGCAAGCACTCACCTGTCTCCCAAGATCTGTGAGAGTGAGGGGTCATCCTTCAGGATTGGTTGTAGATCCTTGATGATGCGTTGGAGAGGTTTTAGTTGGGGGCTGAAGGTGATGGCTAGTGGCGTTCTGTTATTTTCTTTGTTGGGCCTGTCCTGTGGTAGGTGACTTCTGGGTACTCTTCTGGCTCTGTCAATCTGTTTCTTCACTTCAGCAGGTGGGTATTGTAGTTCTAAGAATGCTTGATAGAGATCTTGTAGGTGTTTGTCTCTGTCTGAAGGGTTGGAGCAAATGCGGTTGTATCGTAGAGCTTGGCTGTAGACAATGGATCATGTGGTGTGGTCTGGATGACAGCTGGAGGCATGTAGGTAAGTATAGCGGTCAGTAGGTTTCCTGTATAGGGTGGTGTTTATGTGACCATCGCTTATTAGCACCGTAGTGTCCAGGAAGTGGATCTCTTGTGTGGACTGGTCCAGGCTGAGGTTGATGGTGGGATGAAAATTGTTGAAATCATGGTGGAATTCCTCAAAGACTTCTTTTCCATGGGTCCAGATGATGAAGATGTCATCAATGTAGAGTAGGATGAGAGCTGAGGAAGCGTTGTTCTAAGTCAGCCATAAAAATGTTGGCATACTGTGGTGCCATGCGGCTACCCATAGCAGTGCTGCTGATTTGAAGGTTTACATTGTCCCGAAATGTGAAATAGTTATGGGTGAGGAGAAAGTCACAAAGTTCAGCCACCAGGTTTGCCATGACATTATCGGGCATACTGTTCTTGACAACTTGCAGTCCATCTTTGTGTGGAATGTTCGTGTAGAGGGCTTCTACATCCATAGTGGCCAGGATGGTGAGAGTATAACTGGTGCCTGCCCAATTATTGGTGGTTAGGTAATAGCTAATGTCTTCCTGCCCCCCACAAGCATAATGTTACATAAAACATTGCAATACAATTCAAGATGACCCAGTTTGTTACATGTAAAATACAAATATCAGATTTAGATGAAGCCACATGATTTCTAAATGTAGGACTCCTAATGCATGAAATATGTGTGGATCTGATTTTTCAGACACCAAGGTTGTGTAACAAAGGGGCTGTTTTAGGTAGTTGAGGCACCATTCCACAGTTTCTGTACTGAAGCAGATTCTGTGGATTCTATCCACGTACACTCCTGCACACTCTCCCACTCACCATGGATGCCTTTGACTCCCGGGTTCTCTGCTTGGGGTTCCATTCTGCTTCTTTGATTTTCAACCTTTAACCTCACTCCCTGTCCTGTTTTCTCCTTTGTTATCCCCCGTAATCATCTGGAGCCTGGACTTAGTGGTTCCTCCCCCTCAGTTGAGGGAGAGAGCCTCTAGTTATGAGCAGGCTTCGATCCACCTACACCAGTACTTCAAATAGTAGTACACTCACATGCTCACTGCCAGCACTTAGACTTCTCCAAGGAAATCCCAGGTTGATCAAGGGATGGATCCATAAAGAGTGGCTGGACTCCTGCTTCGTCCCTTTTTACCTAAGCCAAACATCAAAACGCTGTAAAGGGAACACTGCGGAGTAAAGAGGGAAGGGTTTTTACTAAGTACCTGGGATGAGAGGAGAATCTCATAGAAGCAAACTCCTTCCTCCCATGAGGCTAGAAGAAAATCTACCTGTGTAGAAGTTTGTTTGCTCATGTAAAGGGGGCAGGAACAGTCTGGGCCACAGTAAATAACAAGCAAGTAAAAACAGTAGATTTAACTCTGTTTTATTTTCTTTAACAATCTGCATTTTTTCTTTGCAAACAGCAGTTATTCCTGTTGTCAGCTGGAATAAAATTTGCTGGCACAAGAATGCAAAAAGCTCAAATGAATAGTTGCATTACATAAATTTATCTGCATGTAAATAAAACCACACCTCAAAGCCCATCTCCTCCCATTTGGCAATGCAGATGCCTATGTTTGAAGCATATTACTCAGAAGTGGTTGCAAAATATGGAGCAGAACTGAGAAAAACATATGCTTCCTTTAAAGAGGGAAAACTTGCTATCCTTTTTGGAAGGCTGGGCCTGTAATTTTCCTGGCTATCATAGCAGCAAATTATAACATTTTCATTGTCTGCTGAATCAGAACTGGTTGTTTTATGCTTTAGTTTATGATTTTCAGCCTGAAAATGAAGTTGACATTTCAGTTTGCATGCTGAAAGGTGAAATTTCTGAATGATAAATGTGTAATAATAACGGAAAAGCTTGATGTTAAAATATGAATGTGTCTTTATGCTTATTATAGTTCTCTGTTAGGTTGTTTCAGAAGATGCTTTCTTATTTTCATCATCATTGTTCCTGCTGTCTTGCAAATTATTTGCCCTAATGTTCCTCTGTTAGAAAAATGCATATTGTACAATATTTCTGAAGAGATGTCCATTTCCTTTACTTTTTCCATTATGAAATAAAATAGATGATACACTTATAATTAAAGGGTTCCAGAAATAAATGAGCTCTTTAACAAAATGTTAGAGTATCTCAGGTTCTGTGTTATAATTCATAATGATGAAACAGCTAGTGGTTTTAGTCACCATTAGTGTCAACCGAATAGTTTAAAATGTGCGTTGAGTATTTTTTTTAATAATGTGATTATTTTAATGTGCATCTAATGCATAGCTCAATGTGCAATATGTCAACAATGTATTCAAGGTAACTATGTAGCATTACTCATGTGTGACTGACGCAGAGAACTGTAACATTCTTTAATGCAGCAGCAAGCCCCACCAATAATAAGGTGTATTTAAGGAGCATCACAGAAGCCATTTCTGAAAAATCAATTGCATCTTAACTAATGTTCTGTGAAGCAAAGGGCAGAAGAGGAATTGTGCAGTTACCTCTGATCTTCAAAAGAACCTAGAGAAGGAAACACAGTATTACGCTTATTTACATCTCAGCCTCCAGCAAGATGAAGCTTGACCTCAGGTTGGCTCTAAAGTCACAAGCTAAAAGGAACAGTTATGTAACGGAGAATGGCTACAATTAACTGTAACCAAACAGAAGGCTGTGATGAAGGTATCCAGGAAAAAATGCATATGGATTTATTAAATTATATCTCCCTTTTTAATTGCTCTCACTGCTAGACTGCTAGCAACAACAACAACAAAAGGCAGAAATTTTGTCCTGATACAAGTGTTATTCTTTGTAACCACAGGAAGAACTGATTAAAGTTACTGTTGTTTTAATGTCCATCTTTATTGTGTTTACAGATTAAAAAAAATATTGGTAATTTTTTTTCTATTTTGCGTTAAATTTATTGCAAATTATAATTAACAACCCTTCAAATAAGAATTGTTTAGTGTAAGACCAAGTTTTTAATGGTTTTTCACCATTCTTCAGGTTAAAAAAATATGAGGCTGGCAACTGCTTTAATAATTTCCCCTTTTATATTATTACCTATAAAGAGGATGCTCATATTCTCTCCTCTGCTAATCCAAATGGAATAGAGCAGAGTACAATGGAAGATGGCGGTAAGACACAGAGGGTTAGAGCAGCAGCTCCATAACACTCCCCATTTCCCTGAAGCCCCAAAAGGGCTAGGGTGTACCAATCATGTGGGGGGGGCATGGCTGAGTTTGGAGGGGGTGAGGCTCAGAGGGATTGCCACTCCCCACAGTATCATTCCTTCTTCAGAACTGTGGGAATCCCCATGGTAGATCATGCTGAGCCTGGTCAGTAATATCTTCTGCAGGGAACTATATATAGTTCTACTATAATCTGAGACCTTCCAGAGCAGCAAATGAAGGGAAATCATGGCATTATGGCCCCTGAGAAAGCTCCATGGGAAAGGGAAGCACACGCAATAATGTTGAGGCACTGGGTCTTCATGCAAATATAGCTTCCTTCTGTAAATGCCCTGATCCATAGGATACCCAGCAGATCTCCAGACAGCCACAAATTTACTATGTCTTGACACTGCAGCCTGCTCTATGAAGAGAAAATATCATTTCCACAAAATGAATAATCCCAAAGAAAATTCCTGCCCAAGGAGTAATTTTTTGTATATTTAAATGCTGACTGTGAGCTCAGTGCTTGACAGAACATAAACTATATCCCAGTCCCAAGGATTTTATAATCTAAATAGACAACAATTCAGTTATGTAATACACCATGTGGAGGTGCAGGTGCAGTTTAACTTACAGTAGCAATATAGGATTTGTGCAGATTTTTTTTCCTTTTAAATAAATAACATTTCTGTGGGTGCTGGGTTAAAAGTGGTGGGTGCTAAATTGAAAATAGAGAAAAGCTACAAATTATACTACTTAAAAAAATGTGAAGAGATTAGACAAATACAAAATCGAGCCCAGCTTTTATTTTGCAAGGACACAGGAAACGAGGCCTTCTCTTTATTGTGGACATCTTTGCTTGTTTGTTACTAATTACCTAGTGCAGACACAATTATACTGCATGTCTACCTCCAAAAACATCATTGCTAGGAAAGATGGCTGCAGAGGGAATGTTGCTGGAATAGCATTCTCAGAAATACCACCTATGAGTGATATCAGCGTGCACAGATGACGTTAGTGTGCCGTACTTCCTTGAATGAAATCCTTGTATTAATGTTTTGAAATAATAGTGTATGCATTCTCCCAGAAATTCAATAAATATTACAGCTACTCGAGACTCTTAGAGTTGCACCGTGGTGAAAAGCTTTTTGATTCACACAATGTGGTCTCTTCCCGTGCTTATCCCAGTTTGGAACAACAATATCATAAGAATAAACATGGTAATAGACTATAACGCTGCACTTAAATCAGGAATCGTCTTATAGGGAGTTGAGGTAAGCAACTTCAGCATCAGGGGCATAGGGCTGCAAGGTGCTGATCTAGCAAAGGCCTTAAACATGTGCTTAACTTTTATGTTAAGAATGTGAGTAGTGCCATTGACTTCATGGTGCTATAAAAGGGCCTGACCCCACCGGGTGCTGAGTTCCCTAAACTCCTAAGTTAGATTACTACTTTTAGGAACAGCTCTGAGCATGGAGTGATGTGTAGGCTGCCCACCCCAGGAACAAACCCCCAGGAGGCATGATGACAAAGAGATATGCTCTTCAGTTACAGTTACTTCTCTGTTTCCTCCTTGATCCAGGTGATGGCGCAGGGAATGGTAATGTACTGACAAACTATAAAAGCAGTAAACTACCAGCTTTTTCTCCCTCCGCAGAGATACACTGGCTCATCTATACTAGCCAGAAAATGTGGGACAGATAAACTTCAAGCTCTGCCATTCTACACCTATCCCTGCCCACTTGCAGCCCACCCGTGTGCATGTAGCTTCACTTGCTCCTGCACTCGGTAGCCCATTTAGGAGCTTAAAGGAGGTGTCTTACTCCTCTTACTCTCTTGGGTGAACACATAGCACAAGTCACAATCTAGCCTGTAATGACTTTTCTTTGACATCAGTAGCGTTTTGCCTGAGTAAGGCTCGAAGACCAGACCCAAAGGAGAGCCCACGGTCCCTTATGCTTTTGAAAGCACATGCAATAATTCATAGCATATTCCCCTTTTCCTCTTTAGGACAGGAAAATGGACTAAAGCTTACCCGTTACAAAAGAATATTAAATATGTTATTATTAGCCCTTTTTCATTCCTTTCCCATATGGAAAAACAATAAGAGGAATAAAGTCTGTGACATTAATAACCTCTAGAAAATCCACTAAATATTTTGTTGAAGCCATTACCACAACATGGAGGTACTATATCTGTGTCAGGTGGCATGTCTTAATCAGCCCTGCCAAACAGAACTGCCAGAATGAATTATTGCTAATAATTCATTGAAGACTCCAGAGAGATCTAAACTGTATTAATTATTTGGGGAACTGAATATGGAAATGACCCTCTACATTTACACAGTCAATGGGAGAAACACTTGGTGGCTCAATTCGTATATGAACAGTAGACTGTCAGCACGTACTTTTGTTTAAAATACTGTATTGCATAATGTGTCTGAGCTGTACTATAATGTGCTGGACAGATAATTAGGCAGGCTGGGATTTAATTCATATACTATAGCTACATAGAAATATTAAGTTAAGTTTTGTATGTACTTAATATTATATGTACTGTAGCTGTGCCTTACTTCTCATGCCATAGATTGGGGTAGTCAATAGGCAGACCCCAGGCCAAATTCGGAGTGCCAGATGTTTTTGAATGAACTGCAAAACCTTTTTATTTACGTTATTATCATTATTGTTATTTGCGGTGTGAAAAATGTTTCTCTGGAGTCTGGACCTTAATTGATTTCCTTGCCATAGGTAATATTTCAATAGCTCTGCCCCCACCAGAACAGGCCAGCCAGCCCAGCAAATTCACACTTATTAGGCTAGGAAGATGATCAGAATAGTTCCTGAAGTCCATTAGGGACTTTATTATGCAGATCTAATTTATGTAGGAGGCACTTATATACTATGGTGATAGTCACTGTAGAACAGTCTTAGATAGACAGACCAATAAATTAATGATCCTTATTCACAGCCAGCATAGTAAGATCTGCAATTGTCTGTATCTTTACCCAACACTATTTATCCAGCTGATGTTCCTTCTTTTGAACTAATAACTTATAAAAGATAGAAAGGGTCAGATCTTCAGCTGGAGTAAATCAGCATAGTTCTACTGAAATTAATTGAGCTATGACAATTTACCGCAGTTCAGAATCTGGCCAAGACTTGAGCTTAATAGGACTTGTGGAACATTTCTTAGAGCACATCAAAAGAAATGCTGATAAAATGAATATATCTGAAAATTCATAAGAGGCTCTCGCATGTACTTTTTCTGTCTGTACATTCCTTTAGAAATCAGATAGGAATATAATTAAGATAATAGTGTCTAATACTGTAGGCTTTTATGACTTGAGGGCAAAACTGGTATTATTTTGTGATTGGTTTGTTATGATATTATGATACATAGATACTGACATTGGATTGGGTTTTGTTTCCACTGAATTTACCTTATATTTTTTATATTATGTATCTGTAAGGAATTGTGTCATGTAGAATTTGTTTCTTACTGACATTGTTCATTTAACACATTTAACACTTTTTCTTGCATTTTGTTAATAACGTTACTGTTAAAATGTAGCTGTAGATGTTTTTGCAAGTGTATTGCATGTTGTGGTAAATTCAGTTGTTGGTATTTGTGTTACATGAATATACTGGTACTAATTTTTGTTAATCCATGTTAGTGTTTTGTTAATGGTAAAGGGCCAAATGGTCCCCTCTCTTTCTGCAAGCAGATATGGGTGCAGGAAAGCTGATGTACAAAGGGATATCGCTTGCCCTGCAGCACTGTCCCCCTGCCTTCAACCCATGGAAGGCCCAATACAAGTGCTCCATGGAAAGGAGCTGAGGTGGGCTGTCTAGTTATTTACATAACTTCAGGGATTTAAGAAGTAACTAACATCAGTTCCCCACCTCACAGTGAAACCCAGTGTGCCCCAGAGATAGTGGGTCTGCAGTAAGAAGTGAATGAATGTGCATGTAACTCTGTAGGAGCCATATTGCCAGGGTTGGGAGCTTGGAGGCAGTAGAGCAGCTCAGGGCCACCACACAAATGGTCCTGGCTCTAGTAGGCCTCAGAAGATCTATAGGTTTTAAGGGCTGAACCCTGCTCTTGTTCTGGCAGGAGGGATTGGAGAAAAACAAATCATGATGGTTACAGACCATGGGCAAAATTCTGGTCAGCACTTCTTGCTGCGTGCACCCAACAAGAAAAACATGGGCCTGTAGGAAGAGTGTGGGACAGAGAATTTCCACTGAGCACTGACTACCCTTCTTATCCATGGAGAAACTACACTAGAGGCTTTCTGTGACCAGAGCTAGGGAAGAGAAATCCAGTGCAGGGCCCAGGAATCAGCAGCATGGTCCGCGTGTTTCAGCTCAGATTCCCCATCACCCACAAGTGGGCTGTATACACCTTCAACCCTGGGGACTGGTAGTGATTCTGCAGCAAGTCAGGCATTCACTGATGCTTCTTTTTCAGTGTTAATGTGTGCCCATTTGGGGGGGAAGGAATATAGTTCTTTAAATGTACTATGTAGGTTGACTGAATGAGCATTCACACCAATATTTTGATTTTCCTTTATACTTGAGTTATCCTTTAAATTCCTTTCAAATCTTGGATAAGCAGCTAGAAAGAGGGGCTGGAAGAAG